CGACCGATGATTTCTCGCCATCAACAGCAGCCATAAGCAAATCAATGTTCACCTTCGAAGAGTTTTCAGAAGTGGAAGTAACAAGAGTGCTCCAGTCGATCAACACGTATCACTCCCCTTGCACTGACGGTGTTCATCCTCATCCTCGCCATCAATTACTTGACTTTTCAACTTATCAACGCTCTCTGGAAGATTTCCCCAAGAGTGGAAGAAAGTGGTTGTTGTTCAAATTTACAAGGGCGGAACGGAAGCTGCACCAGGCAACTACCTCCCCGTGAGCCTCACATAGGTTATCGGTAAGGCGCTGGAAGGACTGGTGGTTTCATGATATATGGATTACCTCGAGCGACACCAGCGAACGGATAAGGAGCAACACTGATTTCGCGAGAGGCGTTTCTGCATTAACAATTTGATGCTTGCTCGGGAATGTCAATAGAGGCATGGACGAGGGATATGGCACGGACGTTTTCTGCGTTGACTTCAGCAAAGCGTTTGACAGAGTACCGTATGACAGGTTGCTTACTAAACATGGGGCTCTGGGCGTCACAGGGTCCGCACTTTGCCGGTTGGAGGATTTCCTGAAAGAGGGTCCTTCTCGTTTAGAGTTTCACAGGCACAATCTGTGTGGTACACAGTCACCATTGGTGTCGAACTAGGCTCCGTTCTTGGATCACTGCTGTTCCTGACCTTTTCCAACGGCATATCATTAACGTAGAGCAGCCCGTGCCTAATCTATGATGAAGACCTCAAGCTCTAGTGAATGATCCCGACAGAGGAGGACCAAATGTTTCTTTAGGACGACCTGAATGCTCTGACGAACTGGTCGAGTGTGGGCAGGTTACCAATGAACATCTCCAAGTGCGTCCATTTGAGGATTGGAGGAAATGGTCTCACCATAGGCTACAGTCTTGGAAGTCTCCTGTTCCGGCATTCAACTGAGGAAACAGATTTGGGTGTTGTTGTCACCATCAACCTGAAAACTCGTGCACAGACAGAAAGAACTTGTGCTTCTGCGTGGAGTACGTTGGGTGCTATCCGCCGTTCGTTTGGTCCGTTACCGCTGAAGGCCTTCAGATTGTTATGTCTCTAACGTACGCCCTCGATTGGAGTATGGTGGTCCGGTGGTCTTTCCTTGTATGGCTTCTGAGGTTTCCCAATTGGAGAGAGTTCAACGGGATGCTACACGCATCGCCGAAGGACAACATGGGATCAGCTATGAGGGCCGACTGATTGTAGCGTGGTTGTTTCCCAAATCATACAGACGACTGAGAGGCAACCTGATCTACATCAGACGCATCATTCGGGTCGACTTTGGCCCAAAATTGCAGTCGGAATTCCCACAGGGGAACAACAATCGCATGAGGGGATATGCACTGACGCTCCACAGGATGTAGTCAAATGGTCTTCCACTGGTCTATCGTCTGTCGAGGAGGGTGATAAACCTCTGGAATGCGCATTTGGAGGACGTGGTGGAAAAGCCAAATGACAACATCTTTAAAATGAAACATGACAAGGTCATGTAGGATTATTGGTCTGGTTTCAACACTTAATCAGCCCAATGGAGCACAATGTGATGGGGATAATACAGGAATTCCCACAGTCATTAGCACTTGAAGACTTGATAACGACGTATGAATAGAGCTCGTAAATTGTGTGGACGCGTGACATACTAATACACGAGGTAGATCTGCTAAACAAATAGGTACTAGGAATTTTTAAAAATACATGGCACTATACACGAGCCAGAGCACCTGACAGTCTCCGTCCATACATGCAAGGTTTTCTTCCAACTGTCATTCAAGGAAGATGATATAGCCGATCTGTTTGCACGCTGCCTCAGATCGAACAGTCAGACTATGTCGCTGACCCTGTTCTACTTAGGTTTTGATTATGCATGACGGCATGTGCCCGTCCCCCAGTCAAGCCGCCATTCCCGCCCAGTTACCGCCAAATCACAACTACACAGTTCACATGTGGTGCTCGGTCGAACTGAACGGCTACTTTGAATATGAATTACTGAACATGTCTCACGGAGGGGATGGGGAACATTTGTCAACCAATAGGAAACAGGTCAAAGGTCACCGATCAGAAAGCAACCAGCCTGCTCTGTCGTACATCGATCGAAATACTGCGGTTTTATTGATTCTATCGAATATCAATTCGCCTTTACTGAACTTAGCTATTTGACACTATCACAGGATCAAACAGTATGGAGGTTGAAGGCTCTCTTGAAAATTCCTCCGATCACATTGCGACTTTATCATTCAAGTGATAGTTGAGAATCATCTCCGAAAACAAATGGCAACTAATTCGATAAATGGTGACTCGGAAATTGCGAAAGATGACCGAAAGTAATATGCTATAATGAAAATCGTGAATTGCCCGGTTTGATTGTTTGGCATCTACCTATTTACTGGTTTAGCTTGTTTGAATCAAAGAGAACAAAATCTTCACCCTGATACCATTCAGTGACCTACTGATAATTTTATATTATCTATCGCTAGTTCTAAAATCATCAGTTCGTTTTGCATGATTATGACAACTTCTATTGGCCACTTTGGGAATGTTCAAGAATTCGTGCGGTTCTCGTAGGATTTTCGGATCAGACCCACCGATTGTCTGAGTTAGGGTGTTTCAAAGTGTAACAGACGTTGCAGTATGAGTAGACCATTTTGTAATAAACATAACCGGTTTCTCGTCATTCGGAATGATACCTAAAGTACACCTCAATAAGTCATGTCTTCGATAAATGCCGCCTGAATACATTGAATATCATGACCGATGCATCACTGTTAATATGCTATTTCAAAAGAGATACAAGCTGATCTGAAGACCTCCATCAAGAGCATCAATAATGCATTATCACTGTCTCGTCGAGAACTATCCTAAAGAGAGTGCGTACTAATTACCTTTGTGAGAACCAATTTAACCGAACGGATGAGTACCATGGCCTCGACTCTACAGGTCTGGAATAAAACAGTATGCGCCTATTAAATCAGTCGAAGACATTAATCAAATCAGGTCGCCTTAGTCGATTCCCATATGCGACCTCCAATAAACCGCGCCGAATAATACGAGCATAGACGTGTGATTGCCTGGTGACAGTCACGCTTATCCAGTTTTACGATTGTTCTGAAATGCATGCGAGGAGGGCACATTTCTGAAACAACTTAACAGATTAGCCCACTATTTCGGTCCGCAGACATTGACTGAATGAGAAATGCACGTGAGTGACCAACGGACATATTGCAGTCTTGAATCAGTCAATCGGTGATTAGCTTATTACAAATGCATTCAGGTTTTGATAAATTCACCATCCATGCGATCGTGGTTAATCAAGCAACTCGACACACATGAAGAAGAATATGAACAGTCTGGGATAACTAACTCATTCTTAAAAGGGAATCTAGTCATCCCGAATCCACAGGTCTCCGAAAATGGCTAGCTTTCTGGTCGATAGTCAAAATATAAATCTCGGACGAATTTAAATGCACGAGGAATAGAACACTCTACGCTCCATATTCTTCTATCACGATCCATAAACAAAAGGCACTCATGCTGTCCCCGTGCAAAACAAATTTGCTCAGCATTGACGGCAAGGTACCGAGTTCAAATGCGTCAATTCTTATTTCGGATATCTTTCTACACTAAGCACGAATTTTTCATCCGGAATCAGTGAAACTGAGTTGACCTCTCACTTTTCAGTACCGAAAATCGAACGGTCATTGAGTGTTCTTAACGTTGCGAGCACAATTAATACATAATAAAAACAGCAAATGAATCAGTGCAATTTATTCTCGCTTGATATACTCTTTTAAAATTTATCTCAGCTTCAAATGTCCTCATCGTTGCACTATCAAATGTCCTCATCATTGCACTATCAGCCTGGTACAGGAAGAGACGTCTTTGAGAACCTGATGGCAACATAGATACAGAACCGTTTGATGAGATAGCAACCCATACATGTATATGTATATATATATTTATATTTAGGTTCACGTCAGATGATGGAATAAAGCGATCAATTGAAGAAATCACTCAGCGAATCAAGCCAAAAAGCGTGAAGCCATATTCGTGAGTGGGGCAACACGCGCGGACAGGCGTTCATAAACTGTAAACAAATAGAGAGGGAAAGAGAAGGAATAATCCCGGTATAAATCACACATGAACGCGAAAACTCACAAATGTCGTAAATTTCGATCAATTGCTCGCCCAAATTGTCTTTCGCATATTTCTCCCGAATGTGTTCTCGAACCATACAGCGATAATCATAGTAGGTTGCTGACAACTTTTCCGTCACATCCGAAAGCCAAGCAGACTGAACACATCAGACGGACGGGATCAGAATGTGAAACAGAAACGTACCATGGTAGCGGGACATTGTTTGATATTAGCTGATTGAGCTGGTCTAAAATGTGGACGGAGTCTGTGAGGTTGATGGATTGTACTCACTGTAACAGAACGGCCATGAGAGCCAACACCGTCAGACTGAGCACATTGATGCGTTGCATGATAACTTCCGAGACTGATCGACGCTGTAGTTGTGATTTGACTTTAACGACAATCCGATCACACCTTATATACTACTGGCTGTAAGTGTGACCGCATCAGTGTTCATCCGCCTCTGTGCGTGGCTCGCTGGGTCACGTCAACATGTTCGCACAGCTTTGTTTTTGTTATTATTATTCTTATCATCATGAGATCAGTGAAATGAGATAAACATGAACTGTTCAAATTGGCAAACCGTCCGAAGTAGGATGGTGTTCCTTCATGGGCAGATCTGTGATGAAATATTGTGCAACACTTCGCATTACGCTTCGCGGTGGGGATCGAATCAACCGTGAAATTAACCCCGACAACAACAACATCGGTTATTCAAAGGTCAACACTTACTGGAATAAACAGACTTGACCGACTCCAATGTCAACAAGAGGCATTGAATCGTCTTGGTATAAATGCAAGCTCGGTCCCATTCACAATCGTCAAATCTCGGTAACATGCAGTTCACGTGTTTCGCTGTTCTCGCCCTGTGTCTTGTGGTCGGAGCTCATGCGAGGTAAACTCCACACACGTCCGTTCCCACTAACTTTCCATCTCCCATCGTGTTTAGCACAGTCTCCAAGACCGATTTCAGTCGTTGTGAGGCAGACTTGGTGAGTGTGGATTAATGTGCTCAATCAGTTTACTGTGCATTAGTGGTCTAACGTTACTGTTCATTCTATATACGCTTACAGGCGGGTATGAATCAATTGTATTTCAATTGTATTTCAATTGTATTTCTGTTTTTTTTTTTGGGGGGGGACATATGACCTCTGTAGTGACTGAGTTCAACTGTAATTCGTTCTTCGTCCTTTGCATCACAGACCCCGTGCAGAGTGGCCGCGCGTGCTCAGGAGCGATTTGCGGGTATGGGTGATAGACTGCGTTGTTTGTTGCTATTGGGTGCTGGGGAATACTTGAAGAAGGACAACGTTGATCAGAAGTTGATTTCGGTTGCTAAAATCCGTGAGTTTGTAACTGTTTGGATTTCCGGCATTGTTTGATTTTTCCCCTTAGGTTTCTTACCTGTTGTGTTTTATGCTTCTCCTTTTTAGTGGTACAACGTTTGCAAAAGTGTTTGGAGAAATACGAATAACTGAAATCGGACTGTTATCGTGATTGATTATACACAAAGAAATATAATTTGAAGTGCTCCCATACTCGTCTTTTTCTTTGCTCCTGCTCTATCTATCAGTAAGCGATTGTTGTTTTCGTTTCCTCATCGTATGAGCTCGTGGAGAAGTTCTTAGTTACTTCTTTTCCTACTTGCGTAGTTATTTAATTCCAACGGAGCTTTATCTTTATCAATTTACGGAGCTGTTTGACCGACGTACAGACTTCCGTCAATAATCGATCTGATCAACTTGCAGGTTTCTGAAATTGTACAAAGATTGCCGCATCCCGTTATTTGCAGATTTGGTCTCACAGGTGTAATTTTTCAAGCATCCGATATGCTCGTTTCATGGGATTTGTCTTCTTGCAACTTTCGGACCCAAACGTACATGACGATTCTCTCAGGAATGATGTACGAATAGCGAAGTTGTGAACTCTCTGTGAGATACACATAAGTACATGAGACTCTTGGGGTAGCGCCTAGTGCAATCAGGGAAGAATTTGTGGGGGTTTCGCGGATGTTGAGGAGGGTCACTCAAGGTGAATAGAAGAATTCGTTAACTGAACGCTAGTGGTATCAAGGTGCAGACAGTTTGTATCCGTTCGAAGTGGCTTTTCCATGTATTTTCGGCTGACTGGATCCAACTGACCCTTTCGGTAAATTCTCGTCAGTAATCGCCTAATGTTTGTTTTTCCTTCTCAGTTAGTAAGCGCATTGCTAAAATTCATAAAAGCACTATTCAGGTCCTAATTTTCTTCGTATTCACAGAAAAGATTGTCCACCTACCTGCATTATGGGTTGAACCTATCGATGACTGTGAATAACGGTCCCTAAATTTATCGTGAGATTATTTGAGGGGTCTGGCCCTAAGTTTGACCCCATACCTACTCCGTCCTTCCGGTGGTAGTAAATATTGCTAAACATTGGTAGCACGTTCAATGTGCATTGGAGTATCAATTCCTTGGGTTAATCAGTTGATATTCTACTCACGTTTGATTATGGAGGTCAAGGGTCGTATTGAGTTCCTCTTTAGTTGTGATTGAAAAAAGTTTCTTGGTGCTCTGGACGAAATTGTTCGAAATTATTAGATGAATCTTGGCTAATAACTCGCCGAGTGATAACACAATTACGCCAAGTTTGACGGGAATAGAACTGTTGGTCATGGAAGAGATGTGTTTGCCAGTGCGTAAAACAGCTATATCATAGGAAATGATTTTAATTGGTGCGGGCTATGCGGCATGGTTTTCGTTTTGAGGATCGACGAGAATAGCTGAGGACGCAATGCTATAAACTTTATAACACCGACAAATGAACTTTTTTGCATTTTTTTAATGCATTACTAAATGCAACTGCATCGAGAGCAGGGCAGAAAAACATGAATAGGAAAGCGTGGAAGCACCATGGAATTGCTCCAATCTTGTTTTCCGAGGTTCCATACACAGTTTTTTTGAAGCATTTGCGCTGTTGAAGAAATCTGTTGCATCCTGAGATGGAGACCTGATTTAAGTGCAAACAAAACTGTATTGAAAATAGTGTGCATTAGTTCCAACTGTATTTATGTGAAAATTTTGAAAGACCACAGGAAGTGGAGTGCCGTTTTAAGTGGCCGTGAATATGCAGCGACGTTTTCCTAGGTTTAAATGCTTCAACCTGCATTTGTCATGGTATAATTAAATTAGGATTTCAAAAATAAACCGAATAGAAAGACTGGTTACTGACAACTATCAGTAGTATAACTTAAAATCCAGATTATTCGCTGCTGGAATATAAATCAACCATGGAAAAGCTACCCCTAAACAGGCAACTGTAGATATAATTGTATATTGTGAAAAGAGCCCCGGTGACACTATAGTATATGGTGAAATTATATTTGTCTCCGTTATAAATTGGAATTTCACACAGCGCGTGCATTCCTTATTCACTATTTAAATTGAATATCGCGTCAATCGTTCCGATTAGATTTCTTGCGGACCATATTATTTCGGAAGAAATAATTTGATAGAGGGCGGATACAGGACCCGCTTGTAATAACTGAAGTTATCATTGCTATTTCCTGGTTGTTTGGTTGCTTTCTTTGGGCTATATTTATAAAAAGGTGTTGGTGTTAAGTTAGCGGTTGCCAACAAATCTAGCTCAGTTATGTACAGACGAAGAATATCTTGACATTTTCGTCACTGGGATAACAAATAGGGTTCTGTGAATCAAAATTTATAAGAATTTTAGTCTCCCTATTTGGCTGCTTTTCTATTTTAAACATACACTATTGGATCTGTTGGTAACAATTTTGTTGGTTCGTGAATATCGAGCAAGAATCAGACTGTATGACAAACTCGCCCATCTCACTTCAGCATGATCCATGGAGACGGAAATTACATTTTTTCATAACTGAACATCATCAACTATTCCAGATAAAAACTGGCGACATATTTTCACTACGCTTTCCATGCTTTGAAAAACTCCATAACCATGGATAATTAATTAAATCAGCGCTGTTATCTAATGCAACTCTAGGGTCTAGGTCGTACTGTGAACCCAAAACAAATCAAAAAATCATCTCAAATCGGAAAAATAGCCCGCTTCCATCGGAGTTGGCTTAACAGTGAACGGGGATCACAACAATTGGGATAATGAACGAAATCACCGACGAAGAACCTGTGTGTACTTATATAGTTGTATAATAACGCCATCTCATGTTATTAAATACATGATTATGCAAACATATCTCAGAAAGGTTTAGAGTGTCACTCAAAGGACACGATAAAACGAACTTCGAACTTACGCGATGACGCTTGTGGGGTCGACCAACTGACCTTTACCGAGAAATACTGTTAGAACACCGGCGTCCCAAGTGATCAAGAAATATTTTCAACGAATCAGATGTAAGGACAATCAGAATAAACTTTGGTAATACTTGGGTAGAAAAGGAAATGTGTAAACAAGTCAACGAAAGGTGTAGGAAAAGTACTAATCGTTCATCACTTGAAAAGGATCGATATGTCTAATGCAAATAGGTGCTTCAAGGCCTGCAGCAGGACACGGCGCGTGTGGTTTTCACTTGCTATGATCCTGAGTTCAGCCATGCAAATAGGACAGGGAACCTACTTTATAATTCTTCGGTTTGGCTATGAGAAGCTGACACGACGAATCAAATGTTTATTGTTTACAATGTTGACCAAATGAGAAAATGATTGTATTCGCAGTTACCATTGGAAGCTAAATATCACCATCATCAGTGTACAGCCTAATACAATGAAGTGAACTTCACTGCTCGCTGCCTAAACTCATATTGCATAAAAGGTAAGTGTGAATATGTAAGGAGGATAGGGATGCGACTTACTTTCAGGAACGGGAAAAGAAAGCAAACCTTTATGAGCAACACAAAGAGTATACAGTCCAACCGTGCATATATACTGTGTCAAGCCTTCTGGTTTGATAAGAAGTGACATTGCTTTCGGTTTTCTGCGATGATCTTCAGTGTCTTCAACCATGCGGTTTCGGAGCCTTTTGGACCCAAACCCGGAAGACGAGATACACCTACTTGACCTAATCGCCCTGTGCATTTTCTTCATGCCTCGTCTCCAAGTCATCTGCTGCCCAGCCTATAAGAGCCACTGCGAATAAGGCGCGCTGCAGTAGGCGATCGTCTGATATACGCAAAACGTATCCTAACCAACGGAACCTATTAAGCTGAATTCGATGCCCTAGCGAATTCTTGTTCGATGCATTCCCTCAACACTTGACGACTTACTTTTCAGTCACTAATCTGCTCAATCCATCCCACTTAGGACAGACTACGTAAGCATTGATCGTCAAAAACCACTAGGGGACGGATGTCTTCTACCCGCAAATTCAAGGTCTCACAACCGTACAGCACAACTGATCGCACAGTGGTAGTAGTATACGCAAATTGTCAACTTCAGTGAAACGTCACGTTGCCGCCACAGGTCTTCAAATCCTGCATACGCTGCTCGAGCCTTGAAAATGCGAGTGGTTATCTCCCCTTCTGCGCTACCGTCGTTGGTCACGTAGCTACCTAAGTACGAAAAGTAGTCAAATACAGCTAATTCCTGACCGTCGAGTTTCAGAACAGAACTCGGTGAAATCCAGTCTTGTAGCTTTAGTTTGCATTTTGAAGGTGCGAAACACATGCCGCATGGAGCGACAGAACTTGCTAATCTGTCAAGTGCTCTTTGTGTATCCTCCATACATCGGAAAAGCAAACGAACTCGTCAGCGTACTCCAAATAGGACAGCTTTTCCCCAGTTGCCCATTCAATACCTACATTTTGGAGGCTACTTAGTGTGTTCTTCAGTATTTTGTTCATGATGAAATTGAACAGTAATGGCGAAAGAGGGCCCCCGTGGCACAGCTGCCAATTACGAACAACCTACTTAGCTCGCCGTAGACCATTACGCTACCAGAAGTATACGAGTAGGGTGAACTCAGTATGTTCACGTCCATCTGCGGGATTCCTTTGCGAAGGAGTGAACCCAGCAAGGATTCACTTTCAACTAAATCAAAGGCTTCTTTTATGCCAAGGAACACGAAAACCGTTGGTCGACGGTGCGTATGGCGTTTCTCGAGGACTCGACCCAGAGCAAAGATGTAATCGATACAATCGTGGGCTGGTCAAAATCCTGCTTGTTCCCCTCGGATATTTTCCTCCTTAAACGGTGTCAGACGTTAAAGTATGGTGGAGGCTAGTAGCTTGGTGACGATTGGGATCAAACTTATTCCACGGTGGTTTCTGCAGCCGTTGCAAGATCCCTTCCTAAAAATTAGAACAATCAGTGTTTTGCTCCAATATGATGGAATGTGCTCGTGTGACCATATGTTGCACATTAAATCAGCGATAGAATCTACGAGATCATCGCCCTCCATCTTGAAAAAAACTTGGAAGAAAGCCCGTCCGGTCTTGTTGTTTTTCCTTTCTTCAGGGATTGGATGCAAGATCGAGCTTCTGCTGAAGTATGAGGTTCGAATGACACTGTCCATGGAGCCGCAGCTACACCAGAGGAGTTAGCCTGGTTAGCGCCTGGCCAGCTGAACTGTTCGTTGAATTACTCCACCCACCGGTCAAGCCGTTGTTCCCTATTGTGAGTAGTTTGTCCACTTTTGTTGCAGATTGTTTTACTAACTGTGATTCGCCGACCTCCCGTATTGCGTATCAGTTGAAACAGTCTTTGAATATTCCCTGATGCAGCTGCTACTTCCATTTCAATATATACCGTTGCCATCCAGTTCTTGCGGTCTTTCTTGAGGCTCCTCGTGAATTGACGTTGCAAATGCCACCTACCCCTGCCTTGATCCCGGGCGGTCGGGATTTACCACTTTTCTCCATTGGTACTACTGAATGATCACATATCCAATGCGTCGGTCGGGCTACCGCTTCAGATCCACAAGCAACCTTTGCTGCGGAATGCATTGCTCGGCCTATCTGATCCCATTGTTCATCTATACTACTATTCCGCAGTGCGTTTAGCTCAAGACCTAGTTCTGATTCAAAACGGGCACGAATGGCTGGGACAGATAAGGGATGATCCGCCAATCGAGTTTGGTGAGGTTTTCTGTGACCAGTGAGTTGGAGAGTCAACTGTATCAAAAGTNATGCATGATCAGATTCAATGCAGGTGGTCCAATATGACTTGCAGTTTTATACTGAGCCAAGTTAGCGATAGCTTACTTCTCTGTGGTCGATCTGATTTAGCGTACCAGTTGAATTTGAGCGCTACGTTGCTGTCCTTTGCGAGATGTGTCGGAAGATAGAAGATAGGGTAGGAACAGGTGATGGTATTCGCAGAACTGAAGTAGTCGACCGCCATTATCTGTTCACTGGCAGAGCAGCGCACCATGACCGCCTAGGCAAGCTTCCAATGCGCCCAGTTCTCCAACTTAAGCGGTAAAGTCACCTGCGAGAACAACTACTTCGGAGCTTCAGCTCAACCGAATGAGTTTCGGTGGGTTTATCATAAAACTCGTCCTTTTGTGCGTCTGTACTGCAGTTGGTCGGCGCATACGCTGAAATGACGCGTGGAGGAAGAATCCCGAAGACAACCCCGGTGTACTTAAATGATTTATAGTATTAGGATCCTCAATTCGAGTCTCCGATGCACAGAAGACATCAATCCCCACATATTGCATTGTATGTGACAAGCACACTTGTTGACCTACCTGCATCAGAGTCCTCACAATGAAGGTAACCAGATTTAGTGTTTGACAAGGCTTCAGAATCTGCAATCTATTTTATGGTAAACTGCTTACCGGAAAACTAGGCGATTAACTTTGGCAAGTGACCAACAAGTTGTCTTAGGGAATGTTACAGGTTGGAAGAAGGGTTAAAGGAATAGGGTAGAGTACGGAAGATAAAGATTTAAACAAAGGTTAAGATATCTGAGCAGTAGCCCACTTATCACTACCCGCCCCCTCGATGTAATGAAAAGCGTGATCCTGATTATGCTGCGCGACGACCAATGCAGTATGGAATGATTTTTTTATTTCCATATGCATGCTAAATAGATCAGTATCCGCTGTTCTTCTGAAAACATATTTCGCTTTATGTTTCGTATCACAAACACTACAAATACACTTAAGGAGATAAAGCGCGAACGACAGGGGTCAGTGAGGCAACTAGCCATTCGATTCTTGCACACAAACCGTTTCACCTTTAGCACGATTCTTAGATAATCAGCAGGAAATAATCACTTGCCCTTGTTGTATTTCATGTCCCGGGAATCAGGGAAAGGTCGACGAACGTACTTTATGGTCACCGCGACACATCACATTTTTTGATAAGCATTTTTAAGGGTACATGCAACAATAACTTTCATTGTCACGTGAGACATGATGAACACCTCATTCATGTATTTGGAATGCATAACCTAGCCAGAGATAGCGTTGTACCTTTCATTCACTCTAGAACCTCTCCGGATAGATATTCCATATTCAATGAATGCCTTGGTTCGGTTCACTTGGCCACGCTTTCATTCACTGTTCATCTCTGCGATGTGGCATGATAATTTCTATTTTTGACCTTGGGTTTCCTTGTTCTTCTTCCTTGCGTACAAACTCCGTCAAGATAATTGGGTGTATCTCCATTTTTGAGGGTTGAATTACCAAGATCACCAGAGGATTCGGTAAACTCATTTCTACCAATAGGCCGGTATGGATTTGAATAAATGATAGTATAGAGAACGGATAGCAAAAGTGTAGAATTCATTTGTTGATTCAGCTTTCGGCTATGAGGAACACGAATTCAGATATTACAGTTAATGAAGGTCAAACGTGCTTCATGCACAACATCTGTCTAGAACGTGTACAAGAAAGTTATCGCAGCCAACTAATTTGCTATTTTATATACAGTTATTGATCGAACTCTTGCGGTATGAATCTCAATTTAGAAATGCGTTTTGGCTTCTATCGTAATATTTGTATATCGATGGCTATGAGTAAAGAGCAATATACTTAGTTCTCTCTATTTCAATTGGTACGCACCTGAGTATCACGATGAAAGATGCAGTAGTTGTAGCATAAAATTAGGAAATATTTGATACACAGCAGTAGGAAAGTTTATTTTCTCTAATTAGTTATCATCACTTCATGCATGTTTTCAAAGTAAGAATGCCCAGTACCCTATTCAATTTCAGTCCAATATTCTGTTTGCGGTTGAAATATATGTACTGTGATATATTTTTATTTGTCTAAAGTAGCAAAAGAAAAAGTTTCATTTCTTACAGTAACTATGTAATTCCGCGATTCATCCAAGGTGGAATTTTTCTAGCTTAACCACAGTATAGGATTTTAGAACCCGCCTTAAGCCGTTAACTGTAGAATGACTGTGATTTTCACGCAAATGTCAACTGCTTAAAAAACCAAAATACTCAATTCATAATCGTGATGATGATGATGATGATGATGATGGGGAGGAGGAGGAGGATTCGGATGGTGATCTACCGATCATTTACTTATGAATACAGATCTTACCACAACAATAGGTTATGCATCAGCAATTATATATAACCATGTAGAAGACCTGCGTTCAAACTCCTCCAGTTTGTTTATTCAATTGGAAATCTCAATGCAACATTACTATCATCATATGTGGCTCTTTGCACTTAACAACACTTGACCCTGACCGACAGATTTGGTTCCGGTGAATGCTACTGGGACGGTTCAATCATTACCGAACCGGATGATTAGATTGGGTGGAGTCGAATGCAAAATTTACAGCCCTCCTCCCTACAGCCACCACTCTTCCAACCAGTCATCTTTGCCCTTAAATAAACTAAGGTCAATGTACAAGCTCGACCTGAAATAATCCGCTCGCTGCTGATGTTCAAGTATAAAAGCCTTCAGTAATCAGGACAGTGATTGTCAGCATGGTCAGAGATATGCATTGGTCAATTGTGGCTCTCGTTGCGCTCTCTCTGCTAGTCATTTCTCATGCCAGGTAGGTCAAATCACTTGGGTTTGGTTTGATATTTCTCCCTCTTGCAGGTGCATGGAAGAACAAAGCCAATGCCCAGAAGACATGGTATGTGAATAATTCAAGTTGTTGAAGTGGCTATTTTATATTCCTCCTTTACTTATTTATTTAATGAATGAACTATGTGTCACTCCGTTTGAACTACCAGACCCCAAAACAGTTGCTTTATAATATGCATGAAAGAGGAACCGAAGTCAGGAGAAAAATTTACGCCATGGTCAAAGGGCATCTGAGAGAAGCAATGCAACGAGACGATTTGGGCCAGAAAATGTTGGAATTCGCTCTACTCAGTGAGTTTACATTTCAATTTGTCTATACTGTGCTTATTATCCCACTTTTATTTTCCGCAATTGTAGTGATTCGTAGAATGGAACGATGTCTGTTACAAAACGTTCAAACAGTGACGGAAGCACCCAGCACGTGATTATCGGGTTAGGTGGATGGATACAAGCCACCCGCGTATGGCTTTTGTCGTCGTCAATTGTTTTCATAATAAATTGCCCATCTTCAAAGTTATCTTTCTTTGATTCTTTCCCAAGAACTGTGGGAGGTTTACGATCAGGCAAGTAAGCCTTCGTCCCTCGGCATGCACGTTTTGGCCCAAATAATGACTGGTGTAAAAGAAGACCGACGGTAGTCAAACTGTGATCTGGCTTGAAGCTGTGGAAAACTTTACTGCCCTAATTGCCCCCTAGCCTCTTTGACTGGATATTCTTTGATGAACTTATTCACAAAGCGAGTTATATGACTGAGGGCCAAAAATCAGTCGCGTACGTGCCTCGACCAGATTAACGTGTATACTTATTCTGCAGTCATTCAGTTGCTACATGTACTGCACTGTCCACAGCATTTCAATCTTTACGTTATATCGTTTATCATTGGTGGAAAAATGGGTCACACCAAAAGGTAGCAACCAACAGAGACCTATGAGGTGCAAAGTTGATGATTGTGTACGCTGAGTTGGGAAATCCGATCAATCAAACTATCGTATGAAGTGACCGGCGTCGATTATCATGAAAAACGTAATATTTTATCCACAGTAATAGAAAAAACGATAGCAATCAAAACATGGCTTATCACAAAACCGCACTTGGGTACCAGTAACCTAATAATCGCATTTTCCATATTTCGGAATGGTTTGTTCCACACTACAAGAAAAGTTCTTGCGATAGGGTGGTGTGATTTTTGTTTTGCAAAACGCTGCGCTAGGCAAATCGAATTGGAAAGTAATCACGACATCGGACAGCAATTGAAGCATGACAGGATAACGCAGCCCCCCCCCCCATAATTTGGATACGCCTACATTCCAGGTATTCCAAGGATATCGATACAGCTCTCCGTCAATTGTTGCATCCCGGTGGAACAACGGTTATCGTGCCTATGACAGCCAGCCTCCCCACTATAAAAGAATTACTGCACATTGTTCGAAATGATCAAAATGGTGATAAATAGCATACCAATTAAAACTCTGGCTATTTGATCAGAAACTAAGGTAAGATCACTGGTGAAAACGATTGCGGGGTTTTACAAACCTCTACTGGACACACGGATTAACTGGTAAAATAACGCTCATAAATAATAACAATGATGAAACGCGAAGTGATTTCTTTTCAATAGATCACTTCAGACATTTACATATGTAGTTCGATTGTTCAGTAGAATAACACAAGGCCTAGGCTGATGTTGAATGAATGTCTGTGTGCAAAATATTCGGTTGATAACAAGCTGTGCGGTCACGATAATTGGATAAGAGATAGCCGGATGAGAAAAGGTGTGAATTGGACATGATATAAAAGGTGTTAGTCAAGAATAAAACAGGTGTGAAAGTGTACGAAAAAGACAGTAAATGAGGAGTGGGGGAGGGAAAGANAATAGACAGACTTAAATTATGTATCATTATTATTGTTCCTGCCCTGTTGTGAGGCCCTAGATTTCGGGGTACTTATGGGTCCATTGATGCATAAGAACAAAGTCAAATAGCTAAAAAATTTCCTTGCTATATATCTCTTCGGGCATTTACATATGTAGTTCGATTGTTCAGTAGAATAACACAAGGCCTAGGCTGATGTTGAATGAATGTCTGTGTGCAAAATATTCGGTTGATAACAAGCTGTGCGGTCACGATAATTGGATAAGAGATAGCCGGATGAGAAAAGGTGTGAATTGGACATGATATAAAAGGTGTTAGTCAAGAATAAAACAGGTGTGAAAGTGTACGAAAAAGACAGTAAATGAGGAGTGGGGGAGGGAAAGAATAGAAAGTGTTACATAGAGATAGGGGTAATTGTATTTATGGTCATGGTAACAGAAGTGCTTGAACCAGATAACGTTGCTTGCACGACTCCGGCTTCATGATCTTCTTCGGTGCAGTGAAGAAATTTGTAAATGCTGTTTCTGGGTCAATGCTGTATCCACTGACGACCAAATGTTACAGGATTGAGCTGTTCAAGCTTCTCACTGTTTCCTTTCCGAAGAGCTGCCGGACACTGTTCAGATATTCTCTTGGAAAGACGCCTCGTTGTGTGTCCGATATACCGAGCACTACAAGTACATGTGAGCTGATATAGAAACAAGGCTTGGAACTGGTGAGGCAATTTATCCTTAAGCTGTTGAACAATGAACGGCTTAGTCCTCGATGAGAGTCGATGAAAGTATGTAGAACACAAGGTGTCTTTCCAAGAGAATATCTGAACACTGTCCAGTCGCTCTTCGAAAAGGAACAGTGAGAAGCTCGAACAGCTCACTCCTGCAACAGTTGATCGAAAGTAGACACAGGATTGACCCAGAAACAGTATTTACAAGTTTCTTCATTACACCTAAGAACCACACTAAAGGATTACCTAATAATATCCTAACACCTGCGGAATCTATAACAGTTAGTATCATGAAGCCGGAGTCGTGCAAGCAACGTTATCTGGTTCAAGCACTTCTGTTACCATGACCATAAGTACAATTACCCCTATCTCTATGTAACACTTTCTATTCTTTCCCTCCCCCACTCCTCATTTACTGTCTTTTTCGTACACTTTCACACCTGTTTTATTCTTGACTAACACCTTTTATATCATGTCCAATTCACACCTTTTCTCATCCGACCAAATATTTTGCACACAGACATTCATTCAACATCAGCCTAGTTCTTATATTATTCTATTGAACAATCGAACTACATATGTAAATGTCTGAAGTGATCTATTGAAAAGAAATTTATTCGCGTTTCGACATTGTTTGATTGGTATATTGTACTATTTGAAATAAAATTAATAAATAAACCAACTAACCGAAGCTGATACTATTTCATACGGCAGACTGATTGATTTCAGGTTGGTGGCCGAATATATTTACTAGTGAATGCTATACAGCAAATTCCTGAGCTGTTTGGAACGCACCCCTGGAAAACTATGGTGAAACGAGAACTGCAGCAATCACAATTACATAAGCAAACTGAATAAACACTGCGAAAATTTTGTTTACATTAGTTATTTGATCACCTTGTCAAATCGGACAACTGATTTTAATTCAATAAATCCGCATTAGTTAGCCTTAAATGAATCCCGTATAGATATTTGTTTGTTTGATACACTGATGGGGAGATAGAGTGTATCTATATGCACGCTAACGAGATGAACAGCATTTACTTCATCTTTGATGTGCTCCTCGTTTAGTAACATGAATTATACAAGTGCTCACAAAGGATGCTTTCTGTATTCAATGACTAGTAAGAAATAATGGAAAACGATTCCTGTTTCATGGGACTCGTCTGAAGTGCGTACCACCTTTGTCTCATCATCGGCGCTCGAACCATAACCCTTCTGTTTGAGGGACGAACCCCTTAGTTTTGAGCTACGTTGTTGATAGCCAACCTATGAAATGAGTGATTAAACAGATAGGACATTTTGTTTTGTTGTTCATGCAGCTCAACAAATGACTGGGGTTAATCTATTCTGTTCCAGGGCATCGAAAATGTATGTTGCTTGGTATTGAATCCACAAACACTCAGCGAGATTGTTTTTAGGCTTGTCAATAAATGTTAAGTTGATATCGAAAGATATTGCTTCACAGAGTAAACTGGATGAATAGTTCTCACAATGAAATATCAGGGAAGAAATAGAAATAATAGAACCTTTGAATATAACTGAGCCAATGAAACCCTCCAGTGAGCAGTGCCCTCGAAGCGTTCATCATAATACGGAAAGAACATTACATTTGTTCATGTGCTAACAAAAGTTCTTGGGGTTCTCTTCCTTCGATCGGTGTCACGTTTGTGTAGACAAAGTAGGATACCCCACTTTTTCATTAGAATCCCTTGGTGGCCGGTGTAACAGGAGTATTGAGGGAGGGGCTGGGGTTGCACACATTTTAAGCTGCTGCCAATGCTCAGGTAGTTGCGGAAAACACTTTAATCTGTGCTGCTTATATCTGCTCTTCCTGCAAATGCACTTCCAGCGAGGGATTTATTCTCTGAGATAATAAGACTGCTGGACAGACTACATATGTTCACGACCTCAGCCGATCCGCAACTGGTATAAACTTCACTGATCTAAAAGGAAGCTGTTCAAAAACCACTCGCACAGCCATGGGCAAGCTGGACTCATTGCATCTTAAAGTTAATCTAGTTGTGGCGTGCCAAATTACGAACACATTTGATGGTAAACAAAGCAGTTCAAACGGATGTGCTTTAGTCATCATCACCCTGCTGACGTTCGTAATGTGTTGACCCAGTTTTATATAGAGAGTTTAAGCATTGCCCAATCCGCTTAATATCTCTGTTACAGTTTGAATGAGAGCGGGCAATGTAATTTACTGTAAATACCGCCCCCTCCACCAGTTGCACTGTCATTCAATGATACGTGCTTACGCTATCCCTTTTTATAACGAATATTTTGAGAGATCATTCAGAAGTAGCAGCATACGATGAAGTAGGCTCGCAGAACAAAAGCTTTCGAGGAATAATCTGGCGATAACTCCTCGTTCTAGGGGTAACGTTTTATTAAATTCAGGGAGACTAATTTCCGATAGTAATATGGTACATTCTTGGGGTTCTTTGCAATATTTTCTGTCCCTCTCCAAGGTTACACTTATTCGAAGAGAACAGCTTAAACTAGATCATCCGGATTCGTGGCTTTTGGTGTGCATTGTGTGGCCATTATCTCGCATCACGCGTTCCATTCTCTGGAAATAACTATTCAGTTGCAATCAAAGGTTTGATACACTCAATGCTATGAAGTAACAACTGCTAGGGAGCATATCACATGGCAAATCGAAATCTATCGATCGAGTAAGTTAGCATGTAATCGGTATTAATGTGGAATATGATCTGGCCCGCACCATATCTGCCGTGACTACACCCATATGATGTCGCTTATTACACGGCTAAACTTCTTCGTTTCCGACCGATTACGCAAAAACGCGTTATATATAGACCATACAAATCCAGCTGTATGCTGTGAAATCGGACATTAAAAGCAGTCGAATATAGAGATAAGCGTTTTCTTTATTGAAGTCGGTTCAAGTAGATGGAAAAAGTGGATTCGAATGTGCACTGAATTGCCATACGCATCCAAAGTTGCTACATTTTTGGTAGAAATTGAGCATATTTTGATATTCTGGCATGTATTCGTTCACAAACTGAAAAACAGAGAGAAACGGAATGCAGTATCATATCAAAAAATATCCACAGATAGAAATCGTAGCAGTTAGCTTGGTGATTGGGATACAATAGTACAAAGTCATTCATAAAGCGCTAACGTGAGGAAATGAGAGTGGGGATATAACTGGACCGATAAGTTGGGGATTTGCAGTCAATTATGTGTCTGGACACGTGAAGTGGTCCAGTTGGGCTCTGTCCGGTATAGGAAACCTGAATGAGAGGTGAGCTATACACCTGATGAAAGCTGACCTCCAATGGATTGGGAGCAACACGATACGATCTACTGTGCGTCACACTATTATTCATTTAGCATCGATGGCCTACTAAAGCAATTGGTACAAGCGCAGAAATGAATCTGAATGCTTTACAGCCTTTGTGTAGCCATATAAATAAGTTTTTCTAGGAGTCTGCTATTTATACGATTAATATTATCTTTTCCATACCTCTTTAAGTTTAAGCCGAATGCTGTATGATATTATAATCATTGTTTTCTTTATTTTCATATTTTGTAGGTGACTAATTAAAAAAATCAGAATTGCTTTAATCGCAAAAGAACTCTCCTGATAAAGCAAACTATTTCGTACCAACTAAATAGAATTGACGTGATTTATTATACTGAGAGAATGGCATAACGGATAAGTGAGTTTTGCATTTACCACAACGCCATTCCATTTAAGTCCTGGTCAATCTCCTGTTCCGGTTTTCCCATCAGTTCACTCTATCCTGAGGAATATACATCACTTAAATGCAAAAGGAAGCACAGCAATATTAGTGGTTTCAAACCACTCTCTTTTGAAACTGTTGAAATGATTGAAGCCGAGGTGATATTCACTCACTGATTCTGGCGATCTCCAGATACTTGTCACCCAATCCATCTTCAGCAAAATTTTTCCTGATCTTTTGATGAATCATGCAACGGGCTTCTTCGAACGTTTTTATCCAGTTGCTTTTGATCAGGGCCCGCAACTCCGCCTGTGAAACAAAAAAGACAAAGACCGAACATAATCTAGTTGGTAGAATCACACAGATTATAAGTGGACCGTATATCCCAGACTCATATAGTCACCCGCACTTACCCAATTGTGTTCACATTTTTCCGAGTCAGCTGCTTCTGAGGATCTGCAATTGCATGGAATAGGTAATGTTCCCTGTTCCCGGTTTCTAACTTACGCTAGCGATGTGATATACAGAATGAGAAGAGTAAGCAAAATTGTTCGCATCGTAAATTCCGTTTAGTTCACTTCGTGACCCCCTGAAATTGTATCTGGTTAGACGGATAGCTTTATATATATCATTGAATGTTTGTAGGCAAGTTTGTGTGCGTTTGCACGCCGCCACGTAATCACCCTTCGTCAATGTAACCTCAAGGATTGTTCGACAAAGGCGTAACCAGTGTCCGATAGCATATAATGGTCAAGATACGATTCCGCACATTGACCCACGACCACCCTTACCCCTCCCTATATATCGTAAAGAAGGAGGACTAAGAGAAGGTGAGAGAACAACTATATGAGGACATCATTTCGCATGTGACCTTATCAGGCTCTATAATGTGTGAATGTAATTTAAGCGGACATAGACCCCTGAACTTGGAGTCAAATTTTGATGAATTCGGTCGTTGACTAGAACCACGCTCAAACAATTTTGCCTCTGATTCGATTTGCATTCACTTCTGAACCAAGTTGTTCCTTGCACGCTGTCATTGGCTTGATAAAACCTTTCATTGACTGTTTTTAGTCTTCACGCACTCTCTTAAATTCATCTCATCGTTCCAAGTCAGATTTGACTTCTTCTATCGCCAAAGATCAACAGTGAATCATGGAATTCGATTCGTGAATGGATGAACTGAGTGGCGTGTTAAGGTTCGACGCTCTGAAAGCAAACTATCCTACTACTCGCTAGTAGTTGTAACCTTTAAAGTAAAATTTTAGTGGCTTAATGGGCAAATTTTTCACATTCTAGCCAACTACGTTCAGTGTTCTGATAACCAGCCATCAATAAAAATCCGCATATCTGCTTCACACTGCTTATTTTGAGTCTGTGAACTGGGTTAAACAGAATATCTGAAACGTTCTTTTTCCGATGGAAATTTGAATGAAAAGAGAACACCAAATTAGCGAAACCGCACGAAGTAATTCCGGAATCATTTCACTGTATCTCAAACGATGATTAACATAACAAAAATTCATTTATATACTGGGTAAATTGAANNNNAAAGGATGGAAGTGAAAAGTTCATCCGCATTACCAAAGTACAGCTAATGCAACATAAACTTAGTTTTGATGCCACAATTCCAACGATTCTTTGATTATCTGGAAGAACTAACTGGACGCACAAAGCAAACTGAAAGACGGATTGAGGCAAAGGT